TTTAAAGAGTCCACCCACCTGCCATAGGCTGTGAACACTGACCACACATGCTCTGCATCTACGCAATCCCATAAACAAAGGAGAGAACAGAGCAGCTAGACTGCATGGCAAACATTGATTTAAGGAAAAGGTGTGCCAGGCTGGCAGTGGGGACACTTGTCAGAGCTAGTCATTTTGCATTGCACTAACTTACAGAATAGGTATTACAAGTAAAGTTTAGTGAGCAGACACTTTTTGCTGTACATATTAGGACTGCCTAACTGAGAAGCTGAACTATTGGAGAGAAGTGCTCTGATGATTTCATTGCTCAATTATGTAAATGATTTTAAACTTTCACAAAGACAAGACAATACACTTAATCCCTAGACTTACATATGCTTACAGATTTCAACCTATACAATTTAAGACCCTTTAAAAAGATCTGACACCTTGTTTGATTAGAACAGCTGCACCGTTATTACTGGAACTAGTTTCACTACAAGAAAGAATAAGCAGCAATGTGCAAGTGAAGAATGTAGTTTCAGAGTACGCTTTAACCAGTCTGGTAATATGCTGATGCCAAAAACAATGCTGTTTTTGTCCTGCAACTCTTCATTCTCAACACGGCACTTACCTAGCAACAGTGGTGGTGCAATTCACTGCAACTAACAAAAGATAACGTCTTTCAAGCATGCTAATTTTCATTTGCATTGACAAAACAACCAGACTCACCCTGTGGCCACACAACTTCTGGACCCTGTGGAAAGTGGAGAATGAGGGGAGGGGGAAGGGCAGGATTGCCCCTCCCAGCAACAGGCCAGTGAGATCTGTTTAAGTATAGCATGAAGTGCCAAGGATAACTGATACATGGTGACTGAATCTTTGCAGTTCTGTGGTGAGACAGTCATTTCAGCACATCTCACCATCTCAGTGGCTCACACTATGACAGCAACTCCTTTTTCCCCACAGGTGCAACAGCAATTTATAGGCCTTTAAACTGGAAGGATACCGGAAGGCATTTAGCATCCAACAACACTCAACATCCTCCATACCTCAGCTGGAACCATCCTGCCAGGAGACGAGCAGGCTACAAACAGTCAAAGAAACTCTCCCACAAATGGCTATTCCTTCCACATAGCATGTGGTGGTATAGTTACTTAATTCCATCTGATGAATTACGGTTGTTTCAAGACAACATGTTTGACAGCATGTTGATTAGCAAACAAGAGGGTAAATATTTTTGTACTTACTGCTTTTAATTAAAAAATTTGTATTCAAAGAGCAAGACACAATCCAGGTTCACAAAGCATACACAGTTACATAAAACATCACCATCACACTAAGCCAGATATTCCTGACAACAATCCAATCAATACAGAAGCTATGCCTTCAGCCACCCATTCTCAGATGTCTAGTAATTCTACGGGCAGCTGGATGTCTGGAAACATCGAACAAAAACAACAACAAAGTATTAAAAGTAGCGTAAGAGAATGCCTTGGAAACTACCATGAAAGAAACAGCTCCAACCTGTAAAGCAGCAAAAGCTGAAAGAGACTAATACTACTACTTACCTTCAGGTCACCTCCTGTGTGCCCCAAACAGTCTTTGTCAATCTTAATGTAGTTACAGTTATAATCTAATATCAGAACCAAGGAATGCTTGTTGAATCTTTTACTTGCACATCTTTTGCTCCTTGTGAGGCTCTAAAATGGGGGTGGGGAAGGCAGGCATTATAAGTACAAGCAGACAGAAAAGTAACTACTAGTACCCAAGACAAATACATCCTCCTGTGGACCACTACAACTCTGCCTTCCAACAGCCATGACCACTGACCAACTTTACTGAAAACAAAACATATACTCATACATGAGGGTAGAGAGAGCGTTGCAAAGCAACACAGATGGGAGAACTTTCATTTTTAAGTGAAGAGGGGGAAAAAAAAAAACTTAACAGATTACAGCAGACAGCCTGCTTTAACAGATTGCAAGAACAAAATGGCCATCTACTTTGTATTTAGGATGCTTCACATCTTTGCTTGGCACAAGAGGATAGTCTGATCTCATCCATACCAGGCTGTGACTGACAAGTACTCAGCGTGTTTACTATTAAATACTGTCTCAGCAACTGATGTGTACACAATTGCTCAGACCTTACAAATGAGAAGAATGAGCAATCAAAGCAGGCTAAAAGTCAGGCACAGGCTCTATTAGAAGTTAACAAGATGGGCAGCCACAAATTTAAAAAGCTATTCCCACCATTAAAGCCTAAGAACTTGACAAGGTGTACCACTTTGAGAAGTTTTCTGAGACTCAGAAAGAAATTACTATCTTCTTCTTGGTTTTGGAACTGAAAAAAGGAAAAACCCTGCAGTAATCATTCTGAAAACTGTTGCAATAGCCAGTGCGTTTTAGAATTAATAACGACCTAGACTTACCACAGCAGCACCCCAGAGACAAAACTTTAAAATTAAAAGATGTTTTAATTATGTGCTTCAAGTCTTCTGCTTCTTGACAGAAAGGAGAAGACATGCAATTAATACCAGGTATTTCACATTTTCAGATGCCTAAGCATAGGCATCTATAATAGCATTTATAGAACAAAGGGAGAAGATTTCATTAAAATGAAGTTTTGCCAAAGATTATTATGTGGAGCAGTGAATTTGAACCACTCCCTGTTTCCTGTGCATGACTCTTCAAGACAATTCATATGCAATTAAGAATTCTAATTCTCTACTAGCTCCATTCCCTAGTTCCTTAAAGCATTAACCGAACTATTTTAGTGGAGTTGGTTAACACCAAATTGCAAACTCTCAAACTGAATCAGAAGTCAGTTTGCTTGGGACATGCGTGTCAGAACAAGTCCTCCACATCAAAAGTCAGCAGAGGGCACTGTGACACGCCTACAAATCAATATTTTGCTGCTCTTTTGGCCCTAAAGAAATAGTAGGTCAGTCAGGAGAGAATTCTGCTGCAGCCAAAACAACTGCTGCTCTTTCCAATCACCAGTCAAGGCAACAGGTATTCCTGATGGCTGCCCACACAGGACAACAGAGCTTCTTGGACTTGCTATGGGCAGAGTAGGATATCCATAGCTCTCATATACAACAAAGTCATCACACCAAAATTAAAACACTACATAAGTAAGAGAACCTCAGGTCTTAGCAGCTACGCAGTGGTTGAAAATATTTCCATCTTTCTCAAGGCATTTAAGGAAAAGGTAGTATACACCTTCCAAACTCATGACACACAAATCAGAGAAACAAAGCCACTGGAACAGGTATGTCTGGAAAGAGACCAGGAAGGAAAACAGATCAAACAGAGGAAGATAGCGTAATAGACACTGAGAAAAGAGGACAAGGAGGACAGTCTCAAGACCATTGAAATTAAGACCTCTTACAGAACACCACATCTACTTCTGTGCTACTTCCCACCTTCCTTTTCCACATGAATTTTGCTCTATTAAGGAAAGTTAAACAATAGCCTTGAAGCTGTCCTAGTTCTCATTGAACACTTTCCGCTTCCTGGGAAGCTGAACACTGGCAAACTAGTTAAGTCCCACAGCTAGGAAACAAGGACACAAGAAGGTGGAGAGTATTTATAAATAATATTAAGGACTCCCCTTTTAGCAAAAATAATTAGGGCACACAAATGAGTGACCAATGGCAACCAGAAAACCAAACTACACAATACATTGTCCTTTACTGCCTTTTGCAATAAATCTGTGGATAGCAGTAGCTATCCTCTTCATTCCCTGTGCTATTGGTTAGGCCCATAGAGGACTTAATCCTCAAAATGTAAATACAACCCTTAGCAATTCATTTCAAGGAAAAAACAACTAACTTCACAAGAATCTGGTCATTAGAAATCAAAGTGCTCAGCATCGCTGATATTACCCTTACAACCAACGCAGTCTGAGTTGCTGTTAAAATAAAAATTTTCTGGTTGGTGCTTTTACGTAACAAAGTAGGAACAGGTTCAGCAGCTACATTTGATGTACAGAAAGTAAGCATATGCCTCTTGCCTCTAGTGCTGTGTATTGCCCATGGGAAGACCACATTGACAAAGTGCACAAACAGCAATTCTTCCCACAGCCTCCCTCTTCCAAACCAATGTCATCCTTTGCCAATCCTGGAACATGATGCTCTACTTTGCAAGTTTCAATTACCTGACAAGTCTCAGGGAGGGCAGGGAGAGGGAGGAGGACTGCTACTTATCTAGGTGACTAGATCACAGCAGGAAAACGGTACGTGGCAGTATGAGCAGGCTTCCTAACAACAAATAAAGTTTTCAGATCAAATTACACCAAACAGCTTAAGGGGGATGTTTGTCACCAACAAAACAGGGAAATCCTACTACGCCCTGCTTTGGGTCATACACTCCTGCTCCACACTTTGCACTAATTCAGATGTTTGTTGGACTGCTTTGTGAGCAGATTCGCTTCATTTGTCTGGCAAAAAGTCACACACAGCAAATATCAGCTCAAGCGACCCAATAAGCACTGGGGCCCCCACAGTCACAGAGCTACTCAGCAAAGAGCACAAGGAAGACTCAGTTGCTCAAATATTAGTCAACACTGATTACGGAATATTATTTAAATGAGCAAAATAACCCATCAGTTTTCATGAAGAGACAGTGCAACGCCTAAGAAAAAGACCAGAGGTTGCACTGAAGTTTACTCTTTCTCAAATAGAACTTGGACCACATGTAAGATGATACTTTTCACCTAAGAAAGTTTGCCCCTTTGGTTGACAAAAACTCAACTTTTCAAAGACCAGTACACTGTAACACTACCAGTCTATCTCTTCAGCTGATGACCTATACTCACCACAGACCCCCATTTCACACTCCCAAGCGTTCTCCCAGCCCTTTCAGCTCTGCCACAAGTTAAAAAGGAAAACAGTTACCAAACAGATTTTATAGGTTAATTTGGATCAATTTACAAGCAACGCTCACAATTTATGTGTGACAGGCACCAGCGGCCTAAGCTTCTTGGCTTTACAGCCCTAGGAAACACGCACTTACAGCGGGAGACGCACGGTGCGATCAGGAGAGACAACCTGTGCTCACCAGGAGCCCGGTACTGGTTTTGCGGTCTCTTCTGTGAGCACAACGACCCTCTGAGGTGCCGGACAGCTCAACCGCTGCCCCACCCGCATCGGGAGCAGCGAGGCCAGGCCGGGCCGTGCCGTGCTGGAGCGGCGAGGCCGGCCGCCCTGCCTCCCGCGGCCCAACAGCAGCTCAACGGCCGTACGGGGCACCCAACTGAGGGGGACAGGGGGGAAGGAGGAAAGGGGCGTCACCTCCCTCCCGCCGCCCCCGGCCCAGGCCCGCCGG